GGGTTAATGGGAGGCCGCTCTGCTCTTCTCCTGTTCGCTGGACATCGCATCGGCCGGCAGCTTGAAGTAATTCACCACCTCTTTTCTTTTCATCCGATCGCAGATTGAATGTCTCGCTCGCGTCTACAGGGGGGTTTAATTGCCCTGAGCTTTACTGAAAGTGGATCAAGATGGCCAGCTCTGTGACACCGGACCTGCGGATTGAGCCGCCAACATCCGCATCGCTGCACATGCAAATACATCAACCCTGTGAAAGACTGAGATTGACCACCATCTCATGCATGCATTTAAATCGAATGTTCCCGTTAATGCGTTTAAATGCATGCTATTCAAATGCAAAAATGTTTATTCTCATATTGCACCAACAATATTGATCCAATAATCAAAGAAATTGCAGACAATATATTTTTAATTAAGTAATATATTAAAAAATAATTCTATATATATATAATTTTTTTTTTCATTTATGTATTTTTTTTTTTTTTTGCAAACAAAAATTCATTTAAATATTTTTACAAATTAGCTTAAGTAATATATATATAAAATAATACTAAACAAATTTTCAGGTAGTTTTTTTTTTGCAAACATATCATGTAAATATGTTTAACTTTTTAGTGAAATTAAATTAGCTTAAGCATTTGTGAATTCTATTTTGTAAATTAATTAATTCTGAGACTGCTGCAGCTCCATATTATTTGACTGACTTCATGAGTCTGTTCGGCATGATGAATATGATCTGAAGGTCTACAATGGTTTCATCTCATGCATTCATTCATAAATAAAAGTTAGATGTTCTGATATACACTAGACACTTCTAGGCACATCTATTGCATTTCACTCACTATATTCAGCATTTCGTGGGTCATCTGAACTTCTTTTATATGTGGAGTTGAAATGAAGCATAAGTAGTGACTGAGTGGTCTGTGCTTTAATCCGCTGACAGACAGACGGACTCGAGCTCAGACCTGTGTCACAACAACAGCAGCAGAGCGGTTGGGTTTCACAGGAACCTGTCAGGAGCTTTTGTCTGTGGATGAGGAACCGTGTGCGTGTGTTTGGATGATGGATGGCATATAAAGACATACCTGAACTCCTCTGTGAAACCAGAAACCCCAGAGCGAGCCAGCGAGATGGAAAAGCCATCGTGAGCCCCGATCTTTCTTCTGCTGGTTTGTCTTGCGTCTGTGAGTCTATAACGTTTTCCGTTTGGGTTGTGAAACAAGAACCGGGTCATATCGGCCGGGCAACAGTTACAATATAAGCATAAAGATAAAAAAAATAAAGCAACATCGTAAATACTGTAATCGGCTGTTTATTTGCTCATTAAATATAGGAAACAACTCAATGTTCTAATAGCATCTGATTCTTTAATGAATCAATTCAAGACTCTGATTCAGTGATTCAGTTGCATAATCACTCCAAAATGTTTAAAGTCTTTTCATTTTCCATTTCATTTTTGTAAGCAGGTAACATCGGTTTATTAAAATGAATAAATAAATTTGTATTATTTTTATTTTATTATAAAACTAAATATAAAAAAATATTAATATATTAAATGTGTGGAACAAAACGAAATGAAATATTTATAAAATATAAAATATTTATATTTAATACTATTGAACTATTATTGAATAATAATGATAATAATAATAAGAATGAAAAAATATTTACTTTTAAATTAAATTTTAAATTACTTTAGTTATTTTTTATTCAATATTATTAATATTATTCAAATTTACAAGTATATAAATATAATACATATTTATAAAATCTTAAATATTAATATTTAATATTATCAAATAACATTAAATAATAATACACTATTACATATTTATAAAAATACTAATTTTTACTGTATTTTACTGTTTGCATTAAAGAAGACATAAATAGAAATATAGATTACACTGAATAATTGCTGAAAGGCTAAAAAAATTAGGATTTTAATTTTTTGCTATATTGCCAAGACCTTCTTATAAGTAAAAAATAGACTGGAAATGTATGATTGTCTTGACAAATGTTTTTTTGAATGTTTATATTCTTCTGATGTGGACTAAAACTCTGCAGCGCTACCGAATCAACAATGACATTAAAAAAAAATCATGTTTTATGCGAGTTTACAGTCTGATCTGAGACTAGGCAGCACTAAATCAGACAAGCGAGAGTTCGCACACCTGTCAGCGATCGCAGGCATTTCGTGTCTTCGTGCATTTTATATTCATATACAGTAACTTCAGATACCGGTCTGGAGTCGTGACACCACTGCAAACTAAAAGAATCATTAATGGAGTCATTAAGTAATCAGAATCAGAATCAGAAGTGTTCAGTTCCTCACAAACCCCATCTGTACTTTGTGAGTTCACAGCTCCAGTCTTCTCTCCGAATCCCCAAAAGAGCACCCATCACCCATAATGCATCTGTGCTCGGGTTTAATGGAGCGCCGAGGCCATATTTGACTCTTTGAGTGATTCACACACACTCTTACCGGCAGTCTTTAAAACGCATGCTGAGAACTTCTTCATGAAGAGCTGACGATCAACAAACGGATGGATGGATGGATGGATGGATGGCGTGCATCGGGACGCATTAGCGGAGGCTTTGAATTGTTTCCCCGTGCGCGGGACGTCCCGGTGGGATATCAAAGACAGAGCGGCTGTAAATCTCCCGCCGGCCGCAGTCAGAGTGTCAAAAGTCAGACGCATTTAGTTTGCAGCGTGTGACACGTTGAAGAGATAATAATTTAAATCATCTGTGCTTTCATCTTCAGAGCCTCAGAGAGATCAGAGATGTGCCGAGCTTTATTTCTTTCACATGCAACACTTCATGCGTTTACGAGAAAAACACGAGCTGAAAGACATCCAGAAATCACAACTGATTCTATTGACTTTCAGAATAAATGACTCCCATCTCACGGTGAATGATTCATCAGTGCAAGTTATTATAAAGAATTCAAGTCTGTAAGTAAGTTCAGAAAAACTAACATTATTTTATTTTATAATTAAAGATTAATATTATTACATATAAAAATACTATTAAATATTTATAAAATATTTATATTCAATATTATAAAAGTATTATAAAATAATATTACATAATAATAATAATAATAAATAATTGACTTTTAAATTAAATATTGATTTACTTTCACATAATTTTTTTATTTTTAATTGTATTATTCATATTCATATTATTATTATTATTATTATATATTATTTAAAAAATAACATTAAACTTTTTTAATTTACATTCAGCATCTTAAATAAATGTAAAAATAAATGTAAATTTAAAATTCAAATAAATTAAATAAAATTAATGTAAAATGTATTATATAATCAAAAGAAAATTAAGTTAAAATTGAAATGTTTTTATTTTGTTGAATGTTTTAATAATAATAAACTTGTTATTATTATTATTATTAACTTAATATTTTTAATATAATTCATTTAAACTTTACTTTTTTAATATGATAATCATTATTTTATGTTCACATATTTTAAATCACACAGCACTGGCCAAACTGTGCAGTGAAATAAAAGCAGTAAAACAGCACCGGCCCACTGGGTTTAATTCAAACAAGCCTACAGCCGCCAAAGCCAGACCACACAGACAAAATGAGCACTTTCCCACACGCAGGCTTTTAGAAATCCCACCCAAAACACCCAAAGCCCTGTAATGGCTTTCTCTCATTACGCCGCAGTAGAAATGACTCCTGCAGCCGCTGACACTCAATAACACCGACACACTCCCAAAGAACCGCTTATCAGACACACGATACTCACGGATATCACAACACACACGCTACGATTAAAGACCGATTCACTGAGGTCAGATCAGATCCAAGGACGAGGATGATGATGATGAATCTGTGGTCGTCACTTCATCAGCTGCTCCACAGACAGCAGAAAAGTCAAGCTCAAAGCTCTCAAACAAGTATTATAGAGTACAAGTACACACTGCATAGTATTCAGCAAGTAAACAAACTAGTACTCCATTCCCAACACAAAGTCCGTGTCTGAACCCAAAGTTGTAATGAGCTTTATCGGAGCTCTCGCTCGTGGGAAAATCAGCCTCCGAATCACACAGCACTCGTTAATGTGTGTGAAACAGAGTATAAATTAACGTGTTTATCTTGTCATTTATTCAATGGTAAAATACTTTCTTACATCCCAAATTACACTTTAAACACTTTCAAAACATCGATTTGCTTGAAAAGCGGCCCAACTTCTGACTCAACCAACGGCGTGAGTTCGGGGGCGGGGCTATCTGCGTGACTGACCAATGGCAGGCGAGGAGGGTGTTTGAGGAAACTGTTTGAAAACAGTCATTATTTTTTCCAGTTCAGTTTGGTGACACTAACAGAGCACTAATGAAAACACTGTAAAACACGTTTTAACTGTGAACGTGACGGCTTCAGCTTTATTCACAACAATCACAATTATTTCAGCAATTAATCACTGATGCAAACCTCAACCAGACATTAAATACTGTATGAATCAAATGCAAAATAAAAACATCAGCCACCGAAAAAAACGTCTCGCACAGATTGTCTTACCTCAGTCCGCAGATGAATGAAGCTCCTTATGGATTTATGATGTTCAGATCTCTCAACATCTACAAGAACAATCAAACAGAATGTAAGACCTTGATGAGGAACAATAAATCATATCCCTATAAGTTATGCAATATCATTTAATAGCCTATCGAAATAAGTGGTCAGGAATCATCCCTGATCAAACCGCAATTCATCAGCAATAATCTAAACAATGAGAGCTTGATGTGTTTGGTTTCATTACTAATCATTTGCATGCTTGAAAATCTAGGCTAAACTGACACAAACTCTACACAGACTTAATAAAGTCTCTTAATTCAAATGCACGAGCATGAATGCAGTTAAACCTCTCACTCGAGTGTTTCTCCGTCCATCACAACAGACGCACTTTATTTTCCTTAAACTAAAGCTAAGTGCCGACAGCTGCTCGTGAGAATGATCCTGAGACACTGCGGTAACTTTCGCAAATACGCACGCGAACGACCCGAAATCTGCGCGCGGCTCACAGATCGCCAGTGCGTTTGTCGATCAACACGGCGAATGAAACCCTGAGAGTCCCAGTGATCGCGTCAGACTGGCGTCCAAACACTCACCTTCATCCACGAGCCTCTACAGTCCGTCAGAAAGCGGCATCAGCTCCTCACGAGAAACTTCTGGCGATGAATTACTCGATGCAGCTTGTGCTGGAGACTCCTTCTGCCCCACTCGAGGAGGTAAGCTGGTTTTCTTTCCTTCAGAGAGAGAGTGAGTGTGTGTGTGTGTGTGTGTGTGTGTGTGTGTTGAGGCGCACAGGCTCCAACCACTGACGCTTCAGAGAAATACACCTCAATAAAAACTCCGCATCCGATATGGCCAAAAAAATCATATCTCGGTATTTTTTGGCTGAATTGCGATGTACGATATATCGGTATTTTCTAAATGTTGCTATTTGGATTAAGTAAAAAGTATTTATATTAAAAAAAAAGATATATAACCTATATGTATGTATGTGTATATATATATATATATATATATGCCCAATGTTGTCCAATGAAACAATGTTCTTATTAAAAGCTATTAAAACAAATATACAGGTATACGTCTGCAAGATGTCTGTTAAAGATCTCTTCATCTGGAAAGCATCTGCTGTGTACAAGCATCTGATAGACGTCTTTAAGATGTCAGTTTTACATGCATTCTAAATCTTAAAGACATCTTCTAAACGTCTATTTGACGTCAGATAGGAGACATCTTGCAGATGTAAATGCAGAAGTCTCTGTGATGTACGTGTGCTGTCAGGGTAGTGAATGTAACCAAGGCTATGCTATATAATAGCCTATGTGCATAAAAAGGGTTACAATCACATTGCATTCTAACATTACAATCTAAAAACAAATATGATGCTTCTTAAGGCAGAAGTTAAACTCACTAAACTAAAACAAAAACACATACTAGTTGAATGAGGCTATTTTGATTACCCCATTACAACAGTCTAACTTTACAGTTAGGCTACTGCTCTCATAAAAATACACTTAGGCCTACTTGTAGGTTTAAAATTCTAGATACGGCGCATTTTTTGTCCAAAAAGAAATATTGTACCAGAATGTATATTTAGAATGTTTATTCTTATTCTATTACGTCTGTTGGTTTAGCGGAGAATTGCACGCAGAAGGCTCATCTCATCCACCCCTGACAGGAAAAATTAAAATATTGTAATGACTTTCTAACATTTACAGATGGAGGTTGTGAAATGTAAGTCCTGCTCTGTGGAAAACAGCGCATCTCCAACGCATTAAACAGCATCTCTGTCAGCAGCGCATGAGTCTGTCAGAGCAGCTTTAAACTAGACCTGTTAACTATATCTTACCAGTTATTTTAAAGCCCTTAATATAAAGCTTGTCTCATGTTTAGAACAAATCAGATTATGCACTTTCCCCGCAGCAGCTCACTCTATGTCCACTGCTATTATTATTATTCAGATGCGCTCGAATCAAACCACTGTAGATATCGATATAAATGTTATTGCCTCATACATACCATATCGCTTAGGCCTATAAAAAATATATCGATATATTGTACAAACTCGATGTACTGCCCAGCCCTACTTCACCATCAAAAACACACCTTCAGCAGCATATGCATACAACTCAAACTATATCATAAAATAGGCCTATATAAAATAAAAATCTCAAACCTCGCAGAAACCACAGAAAATACACCATCATATAATCCAAAAATACAAAATATGAACCTAATGCACCTGAAATTGCAACAACCTGAAATGGCCTATGTTTATATAACATACAATACACCTACATCACCATATTCCTGCTCTGAACCTCAAACTATCAGAAATACATCTTTATCAAACACATAGCTGTAACAAAAAGAAAAGTGAATTTTTTGAACAGGTGGTGGCACTATGGAGTAGCCTATGTCGTAAAGACCCCAAAATTGGTCAGATTACTATTCAGGACCAGTGTATTAATAATACATCTGTGTATTAAATTTTAGCATTTTCCTAGGTTGGTTCTTCAACCATATTAGGCTATAGCTACCTGAAACTAAATAATCTAGTAGGCTATATAAAAATAATCTGAAATTATGTAATTAAATATATCTACACAGTGCTTGAAGTGGATAAATCTAATTAATTAGTTATAGAAAAATATAACATTTTAAGGCAATTAAGGCAATTTTATGAAAATTATTTCATAAGGTGTGTTTGACCGGAAGCGGTGCTGCGCAGACCGATCGGTGTTTGACATCAAAGTAACGCGAGAGCGATTCGAAAGCATAAAGAGCCGTCTGCTCTCTAATCGCTCTCGCGATACTTTGATCTCATACGCCGATCGAAGTCGAACACACGTGCAGTTAATGGTGATGAACAAGATGCAGGACAGCAACTCACTGCGTGATGGAGCCTATAGAATGAGGTTATATGACCCTGTATGAGATTTTGTCTTAATTTTTATATCATATGAATGATAGTTAAGCAATACCACACGAGTGATGCTTTTGTCCCGAATAGCACGAGCGTAGATGTGATAGGCCTATTGATTTTATACAACAGTTCAATAAATAAGAACTTAATATTGTGTTTTATTTTCGCAGTTTTGCCAACGCAAATATTACCTATTAAAGCCACAGCAGAACTGTTGTGCGTCTCCAAGCAACACACAATTGTGAATGAATCCGTGTTTTGAACGAATCGGGTGAACCAATGATTCGAAGAAAATGAAAAAATAAACAATTCTAAAGCTACTTTTTGTAATATCTATTTCATGATTTTCTCATGTAACAAAAAGAACAAATAAGGGAGATGAAGTGTTTAAGGAGTAATGAAATATAGGCCAAATTACGGACATTTGTGTTATAAGCATTTCAATTTATACCAAACAAATGTGTTTATAGACTAAATACCATAAAACTCTTTTAGATATTATAATTATTACAATTTTACCTTTTAAAACGAAGTTGTTTACTCACACACACACACACAGACACACACACACACACATATATATATATTGTGAATGAATCCGTGTTTTGAACGAATCGGGTGAACCAATGATTCGAGCCCTTTACTTCCTTCCTGAATCAATCAGCCATTTGAAGGAACAGAATGAATGAATGAATGAATGAACGACTCAATGACTTATTCATTAAGACATTTACTGCCACCTACTGGCAGTTTTAGTTTCTTATTTAGAGTATCATTTGATTAAAAAAAATATTTCATATTTACATATTAATATTCGATATCAATATTTCTTTAAAAGTATATATATATATAAATAAGAGTGTGTTAAGGTTGTGTTGGTCCAATTCATTTTTACTCTTAAAATAAAATGATGTACAGCGTGATTAAGACACCTGATGCTGCTGTAATATTGTTGGTTTTACATATCAAAAATAGTCAAATTATTGTTTGATCAATATGCTAACATAAAAAAGCTCTCTTTATGAATTGATGATAGACTTGACATCATTACGTCATCACGAGTGACGTCATTACGTCAGGGCGTAAAAGAACCGGTTTTTATGAACCGGTTCGCGGAAAAGAACCAGACTTCCCATCACTAATCATAATCACACGCACATAATCCTGGAGCAGGTACAGTATGTCTGAAAGGTTTTTTTTTAAGTTATGGAGGACTAATGCGGTTAAACCTTTGTATAATCTGATCATCATGAACATGCATTGCACCTACTGGCAAACTCAATCATTACCGGAAGGCGGTGTGTGTTCGCGAATATCCATTTCCCAGGGACTGATACTAATCTGGCCCCATATGAAAGGCGAGCGCAGGCTGTGTGTTTGTGGTGGTGATGGTCTGGGATCTGGAGCCCAAAGGATCGCTCTCAGGTGACCCGCAAAATACACAATGACACTCACTATTAAAGCATTTACAGTAGTGACGTGTTTCCCATGATGCAGTGTTATTTTAGTGTCACTTATAACGCTATTATAGTTTTTGAATATTTAAGTTATATTCTCAGATTTTTAGATTTTATTTTTATATTGTACTTTTTTTCTATATATTTTCTAAGTTTTAGTAAATTTGTTGTTTTTGTCATTTTTATTATTTTTATATAGTTTGTATAAATTTTTCCCCCCGTTTATTTAGTTAATAAATAATAGACGTACTTCAAATAATAGATGTTGTGATCCATGTTGTATGAAGAAACGATTATAGTTTTGTTAATATTTTGAAAAAAAAAAAAAAAATTGTTATATTCTCTGATTTTAGATTTTATTCTCTAAATATATAGAAAATATTTGAAATATAATATAGAATAATTCTATATTATATTTCAAATATTTTTCTATACATTTTCTGGTTTAATTTTAGTTTTAGCAATTGCTTTGTTCTCATTTATTTATTTAAATATAGTTTTTATTATTTTTAGTTGTAGTTTATTTAGTTGTAGTTATTTTAGTTCTTCAACTTTAAACAAAAATGACTAGCTGAAATAGTAATTTTTGTTTTATAAATTAGTCATCTTTGCGCACACACACACACACACGCACGCACACGCACACGCACACGCACACGCACACGCACACACACACACACACACACAAGTCTATAAATATACACACAAACACACACAAGTATATAAATATATACACACACAAGTATATATGCGCACACACAAGTATATATACACTCGCGCGCACACACACACACAAAGTATATAAATATATATACACACACACACACAAGTCTATAAGTATATATACACACACACACACACACACACACAAGTATATAAATATATATATACATGCGCACACACACACACACACGTATATAAATATATA